TAATGGCCCCCAAAGATGTCTGCATCCTAATCCCTAAACCTCTAAATATGTTACTTTACATGGCAAAAGGGACTTTGCAGATGTGATTAAATTAAGGACCTAGAGATGGGAATTATCTGGGTGTTCCTGATATGAACACAGGAGTCTTTAAAAGTGGAGGCCTTTCCTATTGTGGTCAGAGGGAACTGTGGCTACAGAAAAAGGATCAGAGAAATGATATGTTGCTGGCTTTGAAGAGAGTGGAAGGGGCCACGTGCAAAGGAATGCGGGTGGCCTCTAGAAGCTGGAAAAGGCCGGGACAGGGATTCTCCCCTAGAGCCTTCAGAAGGAACACAGCCCTGCTGACACCTTGATTTTAGCCCAGTGAAACCTGTATTGGACTTCTGACCTACAGAACTGTAAGATAATAAATATGTGTTGTTTTAAGCCACTAAGTTTGTGACAATTTGTTACAGCAGCAATAGGAAACTAATTCAAAGATGATATAGAACAGCCATCAGACCTTGCTCTGATGGCTTTCTAATCTAGGAGAGGAGAGAAGACAAGAACCTAGCCAATCAGAATGCCAAGCAAATGTGGAAAGTGGCATCAAGATTTGCAAGGAGCTGTCCATGAGAGGGTCCGGAAGGCTTAGGGAGGAGATGGCCATCTGAGTTGTCTGTGAGAAGCAGTACAGCTTGTTGGTTGGTAGCATGGACTCTGGCGCTGACTGTAGATTTGATTGTTGGCTCTGCCTCTTACTAGCTGTGGGGCCTTGAGAAAGTCACATAACCTTTCTGTGCCTCAGTTTTCTTATCTACAAAGCAGGTATACTAAAAATGCTTCCTAAAGGGCTGTTGTACAGAGTAAATGAGTTAATGAGTGTAAGTGCTTGGAGTAGTTCTTGGCCACTGTAAGGGCTAGGTAGGTGTTTGCTGTTGTTATTTTGCCTTAACATGGGTAAGGCGAGTAGTCAGAAAGGAGGTGGTGGAGTTTCCGAGGACAACAGGCCTACTTACCTGGAGAGGAAGAGGAGGGGCCTCACTTGAGTTGTGGGAGCGCTCAGGAGAAGCAGCAAAAGGCTACTAGGAACATGGAGCCAGATGATGGTGGCCTTGGAAGCTGGACCAAGGAGTGTCCACTTCCTAGTGTCCTAGAAGATTAAGCAGGTAGTAGGATGTACAATGAGCACAGTAAGGATGCTGATCACGTTTCTTTAAGTGGGGAGAGGGCTTTCATTTCTGAGCAGTGACTCTGAAATCATCTCCCCACTGGCCTTGTCTCCTTTGTCCTCCCAACCTGAGCAGTCTGACCTCTAACCAGGATCACCTCTCCATTCCCCCTCGGTGCTTCTGCCTTACTGTTTGGGTTCTGCGGTCACCACCTAGTGCCTTATCACTATTAGAGCTCCAGGGCTCAGTTATCTGTTTCTTCAAAGCAATTATCTGCTTCTCTGTCCTTGCAGAGAGAGGAGCAGAAACCTCAGCTCGGTGGCTTTGGCCGGTCACCACAGCCTAGGCTTTTCTCTGTTGTCCTTCAGAAGCCAACTCCCTTTGGGCCTTTTGGCTGTTGGGGGCTTGTGGCCTCTCAGCATGTAGAGCTGGTTCTTGTGCAGATGACTCATCAGAATCTCCAGGGTTCTTGGAGACAATGATCCTGACACACGGAAGGAACAGAGCTACTCACAAGGTGGACACACTTTAAGCAGAAATGGGAATCTGGATTTTCTAGACCAGCCACCTGTCCCTGTGCTTTCTCCCTCTGCAGGGAGTCCCTCTTCCCTCACAGCCGCTCAGATTCCTCTTGGTGACTCTGAGTTCTCAGGGCTCTGTCTCTGAAACAGGGGAAGCCCAGCTAGGCCTTCCTTCCCCCTAAGAGCTTTATGATTCTGGCCTTTCCTTTCCCTCTGCTCACCTCCTCTTACTCCTGCTGTCTTTTAACCCCTCAAACTTTAGGGGATAGAGCCAGTGTTATGGATTGAATTGTGTCCCCCCAAAATATGTGTTGTAAATCCTGACCCCTGCCTGTGGTTATAACCCCATTTGGGAATGGGTTGTATTTGTTCTGTTAATGAGGCAGGTTTAGGTTATTAGGTTATGTTTGTTATGTTAATGAGGCAGGATTAGGGTGTATCTTGAGTCAGTCTCTTTTGAGATATAAAAGAGATTAAACAAGCAAGTGAGCTAGTAGAGATGGGTGAAGAGAGATGCCAAGTCACACAAAGATCGCTTGGGAGCAGAAGCTCAGAGACAAGGACCTTCCTCCAGAGTTGACAGAGAGAGAAAGCCTTCCCCTAGAGGCTGCACCCTGAATTCAGACTTCTGTCCTCCTAAACTGTGAGAAAATGAATTTCTGTTTGTTAAAGCCACCCACTTGTGGTATTTCTGTTACAGCAACACTAGATAACTAAGACAGCCAGTCTTTCAAAGTCCCTTCTCCACATTATCTGATAAGTGAAATTTTGCAAAGGGACAAGTAGGTGATAACCAATGAATTCATCATCCTTCATCTGGTCATATGAGGAAAAGGGCATTGTCCTGTTTGTCCTTGGGCAAGTCATCAGCCTCCATTAAGTTCTCTTTCATCATCAGAGAAACAGACGTTAATACTTGCCGTCTCAAAGGGTTGTTGTTACTAGGATGTTGTTGTTAGCTGCCTTTGAGTTGACCCCCAACCCATAGTGACCCCATGCACAACAAAATGAAATACTGCCTGGTCTGTGCCATCCCCATGGTCAGTTGTGGATCAGACTGTTGTGATCCATAGGGTTTTCGTTGACTGCTATTTGGAAATAGATCGCCTGGCCTTTCTTCCTAGTCCCTCTTAGTCTGGAAGCTCTGCTGAAACCTGTTTAGCATCATAGCAACACACAAGCATCCATTAACAGATGAGTGGTGGCCACACATGAGGTGCATTGGCTGGGAATTGAAGCCAGGTATCCCACATGGAGGGTGAGAATTCTGCCACTGAACCACCAGTCCTCCTCTGGGACTAGGATAGAATTCATTCATTCATTCATCAAATATTTATTAAGTACCTACATAGTGGCAGGCACTGTGCCAAGCAACCAGTTAAGAACTAGTGATGAAGCTGACATTGTGGCTGCCCTTCTCTTATGGAGGCAGATAAACAAGAAACAGATGCTTATGGGATGGCACCTTATGGGTACATGGTAATGTCTGTGACAGGTTGTGACTTTAAATGGTGGCGTTTGGTTACCTGCATGGTGATGGTGACGTGGCCTGGGCACACAGTTGGTGCTGGTTGAGTGAGAGGCTGGTTCTGGGCGTTGGGTTGGGAGACACCTGAGAGGACTTTGTTTTTTGCTGTGCCTTCGTCTCACAGTGGAGGTTCTCGTTACTCTGCCAGTGCTCACAGCTGGCTTCTGGTGGGGCTTGTACACAGCCTGGTCTTTCCCATGAGGACTTTCTCAGAATGAATCACACTCCTCTTACAGGTGACCGTGGCATCCAGGTTTGGTTACTGTCATGGTGCTGCTTCCAAGTCTCGTGTTTAGGAGGGGGAGAGAAACTTGGCTTTTGCAGCAAATGACAGAAGTTTTGGTAACTGTTGACTTGATTTTCATTTCCAGGTGGAGTAACTAGAGATTTAGGACACTGTGAAGTTGCCCAACATTATATTCTGAGGAAATTTAAGATGTCAGTAGTTGTGTGGGGGTCTGGCTCTCAATATACTTCTTTCAAAGGGTAGGCCACACATAATTCTTAAAACTTTCTCGCTAGAATTGACGCATGGCCTTTCAGATCATGGTTTTAGATTAACAACCCATTTCCTTGTCATTTTATAGCTGAGGAGGCAGAAATTTGGAGAGGATGTGCTCCTGGGAAGGAGCCCTGCTAACCGAATGGTTAGCGGTTCAAATCCCAGCCGCTGCATGGGAGAAAGATGTGACAGTCTGCTTCCATAAAGATTCAGCCTTGGAAACCCTATGGGGCAGCTCTCTTCTGTCCTGTAGGGTCACTATGAGTCAGAATCCTCTTGACAGCAGTGGGATTTTTTAACAGATACTCCTGGGTAGTAGCAGACTTGGGAACAAAACCCCATTTTCTTCTTCCATAAACCATGCTGCAGCTCTCAGGAAAGGACAGAGTATTTACATTAAAATATATACATGATGCAAATATTACTCTGCCATGAAGAGAAATGAAGTCCTGATACATGCCACAAGATGATGAACCTTGAAAACATTATGCTGAGTGAAGTAAGTCAATCACAAAAGGACAAATAATCTGTGATTTAACTTATATAAAGTACCTAGGATAGGCACATGTGTAGAGATCAGAGTTTAATAGTAGTTATGAGAGGCAGGAGGGAGGGGGTACCCAATCCCAAACCAAACCCAGTGCTGTTGAGTCAATTCTGACTCACAGAGAACCTGTAGGGCAGAGTAGAACTGCCCCGTAGGGTTTCCAAGGCTGTAAATCTTTGCGGAAGCAGACTGACACATCTTTCTCCTGCAGAGCGGCTGGTAGGTTTGAACCATCAACGTTTCAGTTAGTAGCTGAGCACTTTAACCACTGCCTCATCAGGGCTTCTGAGGTAGGAGGGATGGGAGAAATTATTGTTTCAAGCATTGAGTTTTCGTTTATGGGGATGGAAAATTTGGCAAAGGACATTGGTGATGGTTGCACAACATGATTGATGTAATTATTTCACTGAATTGTATACATGAAAAATGTTGAAATGGCAAATGATGTGTTATATATATTTGTACAGTAAAAAATACATGATGCACATTGTAGAAGTTAACTGGCGAAAGAACAGGCTAGTTGTGTGTGTGCGTGTGTGTGTGTATGTAATTGTGTTTGTAGAAGGGCAGGAAGGAGTATCTGTGTTTTAGACGTTAGGGATACTGATATTTCTCTCAGTCCTCCCTGAAGGGCTAATTATAAAACCACTTAGCTGATGCCTTATCTTGTAGAACTAATAAACCGAAGTCTTTCCTCCCGGAGGCTATTGATTCACTCACCTGAAGTACTTTTTTTGGTTAAGAGGTTGCTTAACTGGGCTCTTCATGGCCATCATGGGAGAACCTTCAATATCTGGGACTCTCCGAAAAGAACATTCAGATGAATTATATACCTGTAAAGACCGTGTATTAAAAAAAGGGTTAAATAGTTTAGGTCTTAGTTGAATTTGGGGCTCTGCCAAACCAGTGCAGCTAAGTTTGTTTCCTTCCTTTTTTCCCAACACTGATGTAACAAACCCCTCCTAATCTGCTTGTCTCCACCCTGTCTCGCCTCAAAATTCATTGCTCAATCGTGGCATAAAAATAAAGAACATCGTGACATCAAGCCTGGCCTCAGACTGATAACCAATCTTGAGCCCTTAAGAACCTGAATTTCAGACAGGTAGCAAATGCAATTTTCTTTTTAAAAACGTGTTTTCTTTTTTTGTTTTGTGAAACGAAAATGGCTTGTCTGTGGGTGTGTTTTCAAAGGCTAGTCCTTTCTCGTAAAGGACTTAACGCTTCTACTGGTTCAATTTTTGTATATTTTAAATGAGTCTGGTATGAGATGATGCTGTGTAGCTAATTTAAAATATATTGTTCTGAAGCCGTTGGCTTGCCTTGTGACATGGACTTGTGAAGAAGTGCTGTGATTTACTAATTTTGTAGTATATATCATTTCCTTTATTTCATTTGCTTTCAATTTCGTCCTTGAGCGTCAGGTGCATAACCGGAGAACTGCATGTGATCCTCCTGAGTATATATTAAGAAAAAAGATATCTGGGGAAGGGAATAGAAAGCACGTTAAAATAGCAGTAAAAATAATCAAAACAGAAATGTCATATGGAGTTGAGTCAACAAAAATGAATCAGAAAAGAGATTCAAACAAAATGTATTAACTGGGTTGATGAAAAGTAAATAATGAATTTGTGTTTGTGTGCACAGAAAGAACTATAGATGTGATCATTGGGATCCTCATTTATAGGAGACAGGCTTCCTTGATGGTATTTTTTAACTCAAGGTATTAATGTAATGCAAAATTGAGTTGGGTGGTGAAAACAGTTAAGTACTCAACTACTAGCTGAAACACTCGTAAACAGTAGCTGTTTTTATCACTATTTTTGTTTTCTGTTCATTTTTCTTGTAAATTTTTAAAAAGACACTTATTTAAGCCTTTTCTCATTCTAATTAGCAAAAGGTACTAAGTACCTGGGAATAAGCTTAGAAACGGAACCCTAAAGGGAGATTTAATGATGGTCTTCAAACGGGACAAGTGTCCTCAGAAGACTCTTCTAGAGCCATTGGTGTGAAGTCCCGTTCGGAGTGGGGCTCTCTTGGAAGCGATTCTGATCCATCTGAATTATACCAGAATTTTAAGACACAGGTATTATTAGATCACATCTCCTACATTTCTGATGGCAGTCAGTCATAAATAGCTGGTGGTGGTTGTTAGCTACTGTCGTGTTGGCTTCTGACTCATGGCCGCCCCATGCACAGTGGAACGAAACGCTGCCTGGTCCCTGGCAGCTTGGACCATTGTGGTCCATAGGGTTTTAAAAAATAATTTACAGTGAAACCTGTGAGAACTGGAACTTGATGGGACTGTGTTTTGGGTCTTGCGAGTTTTCCGCCTTTGACAGGGTGCAGTCTTATCACTTTTCTGTTGCTCTCTGTTAGTGGAAAATATTTGAGTTTTCCTTTTCTGACAGGGTTTTCTGCCTTACACAGCTTCCAGCTTTTGCAAGTTTTATTTAATTTTTTGTTGTTGAGAATATACACAGCAGAACATACACCAATCCAGCAGTTTCTGCATGTACAATTCAGTGACATTGATTACATTCATGAAGTTAAGCAGCTATTCTCACCCTCCTTTTCTGAGTTGTTCCTTCCCCATTAACATAAATTCACTGCCCCCTAAGTTTCCTATCTAATCTTTTAAGTTGTTGTTGTTGATCCCATATAGATTAGCATAATGCTCAAGGCAGACACTCATTACTAGTTAAGCTGAACTATTGTTTGGTTTTAAGAAGACTTCAGGGGATATTTTTGGTTTACGGTTTAAAGAGTTTCTCAGGGTAATAGTTTCTGGGGTTCATCCACCTTCCATGGCTCCAGAAATTCTGGATTCCATGCGCATTTGAAATTCTGTTCTGCATCCCGCCCCCCACTTTGATCAGGATTCTGCTATAGAATCTTTGATCAAAATGCCTAGAAGTGGTTAGAAGTGGTAGTGGTAGCCAGGCACCATCTAGTTTTTCTGGTCTCATGGCAGAGGAGGCAGTTGTTCATGGAGGTAGTTAGCCACACATTCCATATCTTCCTCCTATTCCTGACTTTCCTTCTTCCTCTGGGTCCAGGTGAATAGAAACCAAATGGTGTGCCTTGGATGGCTGCTTGCAAGCTTTTAAGAACTGAGGCACTACACAATGAACTAGGAGGTGGAACAGAAGCGCTAAACCTGTTATTAGGCCAGTTAACTGGGATGTCCCATGAAACCATGACCCTAAACCTCCAACTCAAGGAACCAAATCCCATGAGGTGTTTGGTTGTACATAAGCAGCCTTAGTAGCTGCTTTTTTTTTTTTTGTCATTGTTGTAAATCTATTTGTCACACAACTTTTGCCAATTCAACTTCTTACAAGTATACAACTTATTGACAGCAATTACAGTAATCAGCTGAGCAACTCTATCCTTAATCAGTGCAATTTTCCCTCACCTGTAAATTGAAAGGCAGTACTCCGTAAGCAATTAACTTTCCCCTTCTCCCTCCCACCTACCCCTGGTAAACCACTAAGCAACTTTGGTGTCTATACGTTTGCCTGTTCTTGTCTTTTTATATAAATGAGGTCATACAATATTTGTCCTTTTGTTACTGACTTATTTCACTCAGCATAATGTCTTCAAGCTCCTTGCGTATTTTAGCAGGTATCAAGACTTCATTTCTCTTACTGGCTGAGTAGTATTCCATCGTATGTATGTAGCATATTCTATTTATCCACTCATCTGTTGGCCCATACTGTTTTCATTGGCTGATTTTTGAAAGTAGATTACGAGGCCTTTCTTTGTATGTAAATAGCTGCGTCTATGCATATTTTTGCACCATATCATATTCTGTTTGCCCAGTTGATTTTTGCTGCAGTGTTTACAGTTATGTATAGATATTTCTTATAGCTAAGTGCGCAGGGGTTCCTGTGCATTTTTCTTTTTTTGAAATTGTGTTTTAAGTGAAATTTTACTTAGCAAATTAGGTTTCTGTTTAATAATTTTTATACAACTTGTTCCATGACATTGGTTACATTTTTCACAATGTCAACATTATTGTTATTTCCATTCTTTTTGTTCTATTTCCGTTAATCTAGCTTCCCTGCCTCTCCTTAGCTTCTCATCGTGTTTTAGGGTAAATGTGGACCATTTGGTCTCATATGGTTGATTAATGTAAGGGAGCACATTATTCACAGGTGATTTTTTTTATTTTGTAAGTCAATCTATTATTTTGATGAAAGGTGACCAGCGTGAGTGGCTTCAGTTTCAAGTTCAAAGAGTATTTTAGGGCAGTAGTCTTGAGGATTCCTCTAGTCTCTATCAGTCCAGTAAGTCTGGCCTTTTTTAGAAATTTGAGTTTTGTTCTACATTTTTCTCCCATTCTAAGCAGGAGCTTCTATTGTTTCTCTGGTCAGAACGGTCAGTAGTGGTGGCTGGGCACCATCTAGTTCTGGTCTCAGGCTAGAAGAGGCTGCGGTTCTCATGGGCCGTTAGTCCTGCGGACTAATTTTTTACTTGAGTCCTTGGTTTCCTTCACTCTGCTTTGCTCCAGATGGGAAGAGACCCATGGTTGTATCTTAGATGACTGCTTGCAAGCTTTTAAGACTCTGATGCTACTCACCAACCTAGGATGTAGAACATTATCTTTATAAGCTATGTTATGCCAGTTGACCTGGATGTCCCCCAAGACTATGGTCCTAAGCTTTCAAACCCAGTAACTCAGTCCCTTGAGGTATTTGGATATGTCTAGGAAATTTCCTTAGTTGTGCCCCCTATGTGCTCTATCATATGTATGAATATATTTGCAGCACACATAAACATGTATATATATATGCCTGTAGATCTGTACATGCATGCTCATATACTCACATGTACCTTCTTATACCCATATATATGTACATGTCTACTATGTAACCGCACATATATTTTATTAGTTGTTATTACTGTTGTTGCAAAATTGTCTGATATAATATTTTCTGAAATTGTCCCTTATTCTTACGTACTTCTTAGTATCTTCATTTACCTTTGACAAGTTGTGCAGTCTTCACCCATGTTAGGTATTGCCTTTCCCATCACCAAAAATAACAAGTGTTAACTATCTAGAAAGTGATACCCCGTCCCTCCACTTCCCATCTGAGGTAACCATCAAAGAACATTGCTTTCTGTGTATATACCTGTTCTTGACTTTTTATAAAAGTGGTGCCATAGAATATTTGTCCTTTTAGCCCATAAAACAAAAGAAGACTAATGAGGCACAACAGTCCAGGGACAAGGCCTAGAAGGCAGGAGAGGACAGGAAAGCTGATGATAGGGAGGGACAGTATTGACATGTTGTGGGGTTGTTAACCATTGTCATAAAACAATATGTATACTAACTCTTTAATGAGAAACTATTTGTTCTGTAAACCTTCATCTAAAGTACGATAAAAAAATAATAATAAAAATATTTGTCCTTTTGTGATTGATTTATTTGGTTCGGCATAATGTCCTCCAGATTCATCCATGTTATGTTTTGCAAACTCCTCATTATTCTTTATAGTTGCGTAGTATTCCATTATATGTATGCACCACAATTTGTTTACCCATTCATCTGTTGATGGGCACTTAGATTGTTCCCAGCTTCTTGCTGTTGTGAGTAATGCTGCAGTGAACATAGGTGTGCATATGTCTATTCACGTCACTGCTCTTGTTTCTCTAGGGTATATACCTAGGAATAGGATTGCTGGATCATAAGATATTTCTATTTCTAGCTTTTTGAGGAAGTGTCATGCTGTTTTCCATAGCGAGTGTACCATTTTACATTTACACTGGCAATGTAAAAGGGTTCCAGTCTCCCCACAGTCTCGCCAGCATTTGTTATTTTCTGTTTTTATGATCATTGCCATTTTTGCAGGGGGAAGATGGTGTCTCATTGTAATTTTGATTTGCATCTCTCTAATGGCTACTGATCGCAGGCATCTTTTCATGTATTTTGTTGACCACCTGAATGTCCTCTTTGGTGAATTGTCTGTTCATGTCCTTTGTCTATTTTTTGATTGAATTCTTTGTCTTTTTGTTGTTGAGTTGTTGAAGTTTTCTATATGTTTTAGAGGTTAGACTCTTATTAGATATGTCGTTGCCAAAGATTTTTATAGGTACTCT